ATAGACTCAAATATTAGCCGGAAGCAACAGTTTGAAGTTAAAAAAACGCCTTGATGGATTTGTTTCTTACACAAACACAGCTTTTGGCTTCACAAGACATTAATTGATGGACTGGAGTGGCGTGGATTACTCTCAGTAAACAGTTTTTCACTTAAAACTCTTGTTTCTGGTATTCATAACATTGCTTTCTCAAGTGAAATGGAATTACATGTTGTTGTTGTTTTTTTGCAATCCAAATGTATCAATTAAATAAATGTCAGATTAATGGATTTAAAAAAAAAAAAAATAACAATAATTTGTTGCAGCCCTAATCATCAACCTGTGAGTTTTGGCCATCAACTCAGAACTGTTGTTTGTGGATAATGTCAAGACTTCAGTTTTGTCTTTTCAGCCTTAGCCATGATCGTCTTCACATGCATGTATGCGTGTGTGTTTTCAGAGAGCGGCTGCGGACACACAGTATCGAGTCGTCTGGGAAGCTGAAGATCTCTCCGGAGCAGCACTGGGACTTCACAGCCGAAGACCTGAAGGATCTTGGTGAGATCGGCCGAGGAGCGTACGGCTCCGTCAACAAGATGGTGCACAAACCCAGTGGACAAATCATGGCCGTCAAAGTAAGACGCATAAGTTACTGATCGGTTTCTGTTACACTTTAGGTTGTTTTTGAAAGCTAAAAACGGAGTGTGTGTGTGATCAATAAAGCACAAAGCCTTCTCGAAAAGGCAAGCTTTTCCAAGAGTCAGTATAGACCAGAAAACCAAAGTTGTATTTGGTACCAGACTAGAAATGAAAGTTGTTTGTGCACCTCCACGTAAAATAAGGGCAAAATAAGCCCAGCTAATTGGATTTGGTTCATTTTGTGAGGTTCATGGTGTTAGAACCTTAAACCATATTTAGTTTGATGCATACAGTACCACATAAACAGGATAACCTTTAGCACAGCATGTATTATTTGTTTTCCACAAAGTTATGTCTATTAAATATTGAATAATTCTATTCGTTTTAGATGGCTGGAAATTGTACCCCAAAATTAAATAACACCCACAAATTAAAAAATGTACAGAGTTTCTTCTGTTTTGACGACCATTATTTGAATGACTTTTGCCTTTTGTTGTGGTA